TTTTTTTTTCACTAAATGTTAAGTATCAATGTAATCGTTTTTATAATAATAGATTAGTACACAATTGTATGTCAACACATTATTTATTACCTTAAACTGTCTGGAATTTATTATTAAAGGGTTGCGCTTGCGTAAAATTTACTATCGTGGAAATTCAGCTTTTTTGCGTTTTGGCTAATCTCATCCCTGAAGTTAAACGTACGTTTACTAAAGAATCTGTTAAAATTGATTGTGTCAAAGCGTGATGACTTAAAAGTGCAATTAAAAATTGCCATTTTTAAAAAAAATATTTATTGTGTTTAGAAGCTCTCGCGGGCCGCACTTCAGTAGTCGAAGGGCCGCATTTGGCCCGCGGGCCGCAGGTTGTGCACCCCTAGTGTAGTTATTTGACTCTACGTTCTTGGTTGAATTATAGTGTTATGATCTAGTTTGCCCAAAGCTTGTTTATTATTCAATATCAGTTTTTACTATTTCACCTCTTTATCTTTTTCAATAATTATTTAATCAAAATTCTCCTACGTCAAAATAAATTTCAGATTTTGAGTTAAATAAAGATTTGTTTTGCGAACAGTAATGACAGTTTGGGAATAATTTTCCCTAACATTTTGATTGTTTCTATTTTAGTTTGAAAAGAAAAATACTGTCGAAAATACTCAGTTGAGGAAATACTTTTGTTGATTATTGTAAGCTCTGGTTAATGGTTACACTCTGTGATAATTTCATGTATGCGAGTATTACTAGTGTTATAATTTTAGGATTCAGAAATGAAAACTCCACTCCATACTGCCATTTCTAATCAAAACCCTGTGATAATCAGTTTGCTTTTATCTTGTCCGACTATCGATTTGAGTTTGAGGGACAGACATAATTGCACTCCATTTGCTGCTGCAATGACAGTTCGAAACAATAAAGCGGCAGAATCCATACTTGCAAGAGAACCTAAAGCTGCAGAACAGGTAACTAAAACACATTCAACTTTAAAATATATTTTCGTACTTTTTTTTTTTTTTGTTTTTTTACTAATAAACAAAACAGACTCATTTGTTATGTCTTTAAAAATGGTTTGAACCATAAGATAGTTTTCTTCATGTGATTGGGAATTCCAATTTTACAATAGTAATCAGTGTTTTTTTTATGAGCATAATTTATTCTTAAAACATAAGAGTACTAAATAAGTGTAACTGAAACAATTTTTTTCAGAAACTTTGTAAAAAAATTCTTTATTACAGCAAATATTAATATTTTTAAAAAAATGGAATTTGTTATTTTCGTTCCTGATTAATGTATCTTTAAAATTATTTTGTATTTTGTAAAACTTCTTTTGTAAGAATTGTATGATAACTGTTAGACAAATAAAGGCTAAAAGGTATAAGTTTCGATTTTCGTTAGTCATCGAAGAGAACAATTTCGTGCGTTCAACTTGCATCGGTGACGTGACGTCATGGTCTGCGGAGATCGGCCAGTTTCTTTTAATTTGCTGTAGGTCTTTCTTGCATGGATCATGACGTCACCTGTATTTAAGCTTCTGTTGAAGCAGATTATTTTGTGTTCTTTCTTTTCATTAGTAACTCTGTATGTGATAGTTTGCTTACCAATGTTTTTAAATAAACTTATTTCTTTAGAAACTATGTTTTTTGTTTTGTTGACTAACAGATATGATATTCTGCGACAATCTCGGATGTCAATAACTCATAATAAGTTTTCATAAATAAGATTTAACAGGTGTAAAAATTAAGAAAATTTACTGACTGATCCAAATATGTATGTGCCCGTATAACTTATTACTAGTCTATACTTATTTGCACAGGTAGGCTCACATGATCCTATTTTATTTTCACAAAAAAAAAATCGTATTAATGAAACAAAATAAATTTAATACTTACTATTTTTAAATTTGTGTTAACTTACTAAATGAAGTAAGTGAAGTTTTGTATGAATCAAAATTTTATCATTATGTTATAATAAACAGATTTAATGTTACCTATTTATCTTAAGTAAAGAATTATATTAGATATTAAAGGTTAAAATATATATATATATAAAAAAGTAAAATTTCGGAAACATTACTAAGAATGTGTGATCTTTGCAATTATGATGAAGAAATGGCAGGATTTTATTCCTGAGTCACAGACCAAAACAATAAAATCATCTCTTTACGCTTAAATGATGGTAATCGATGCTGCCTGGTCTGAGAGACAGTTTATTATTTCAAATTACTCCTAGTTTGGATTTGTCCAACTGATTTATCGGATCATAAATTTAAAGTTTACCCTCTAAAACATGCCAATAGTTTATTTAAATCATCAGTCTCTAATTTCTTCTAATGATATATTTCAGTATGACAACAGAGGAAGGAATTTCTTGCACATCGCTATTCAAAAGAAAGACATTGAAAGTGTTCTCTTTTTACTAAGTATTCATGTCAACATACATTCGAGGGTTCAAGATTCATCACAGGCCACGCCTTTGCATTTAGCAGTTGAAGTTGGATCTGAGATTATTCTCAGAAATCTGGTAATATCATCTTTGAATTGTTTTTTGCTGGTTTGAAATATGAAATCTAATTTAAAGAATTGACTTTTTTATTATCTCCCTTTCTTTTAAGTAATATCAATGTAGCAAATTAAACACTTCATGTTATAACTTTAAAAAAAAAAATTAAAAAAACAGTTAGAGTGAAAAGGCGGGATCTTCAGAGGTATGGGCTATTCAAATAATGGCATAAATGTATATACTGAAAAACTTTTTTTCTGAATTTTAAGTAGATATAGTGTTTCCATATTTACCGAACAAATTTTATTTAGATTAGATTGATATTAGATGTTCTTAGAATAGGATCTATATATTACTTTTTTTATATTCTAAACTTTTTATTTTTAAAAAGAAATTACAGTTTTGATCCTAATTACTAAAATTTTAAACTCTTTCTGAAGAATCTAAATATTTTTCAATTTAGCTTTTAAAAAAATTTCGTTAAAAGGCGATAACATTAACAACTTTTTATCAATTTGAAATTTAAAGTTCTGAAAAATGTTTTTCATGCAAAGCAATGAGTATTTATCAATATTTCTTTTTCATAAATTTAAAATAAGAATTTCTTTTTAGAAAGAAGTTTGTTTTTTAGACTCGACTACATATTTGTTGACAATAAAAAAAAGTTATTCAATTGTGTATATTGTTTGGCTTCTTTTTAATTATCCTAAGTTTGCTTTCAGCTTTACCTATGTTTGATTTTTTTTTCTCCTATTGACCTTAGGGCAAAATCAGACAAAAACTTCAGTGCTAAACTCTATTCTGCCTGCTAGGATAGTATTTTTAGCAAAATAGCTCAAAAGGAAAGGTCTAGGATAGTTCAAACGCTGACTAAACAGTATAAAATGTAACGGCATTTTAGTGAAATGTTTAACCTTATTTTACATTAAAAAAAATCAATTGAACAAAAATTAAAAATAAACTTTCACAAAAATATTGGCACAAATCACACTTCTCTTATATTTTTAAAGTAAATTAAAGTTTTTTATTTTAAGCATAAAGAAATGCTCAATTTGTTCATAAATCTTATTACTAGTGAAATTTTAAAATTTGTTTTCAAACAGAAACAAAGGATCTATAATGGTATCCAAACTCGATTGGTAAACTTTGTGTTTCGTCCTTTTTGCAAAAGCTACTTTTCTGACTTTAGTATTTTTGCCAAAAACTTCTTCAATCCACTGTAGAAAACTGTAGACCACTAACTGTAGAAAAACGTAGTGGGAGGCCATAAAACTTCGGAAAATATAGTAACTCTCAAAAAAAGGAAAGAAATGTGACGGATAGTTATTAAAATTATTATTTTGACTCAAAGTTGCTTAAAGTATACTTTGGGGTAATTAATACTTAACCCTTTTAGTTGCTTGCCGGTGCTCAAGTAAATGATTTAACACCACAGAAACAAACAGCCCTTCACATTGCTGCTCTTCATGATAACAGTAACCTCTGTTCCATATTAATAGAAAATGGTATTGATTTTGATGCTCTTGATAACAATCAAAACAATGGTAAGTTATGAATCTTCTTATTTCAACTCTCACTCAATACTGTTTCTTTTTGTCCTTCTGTTATTGTTTTTACAAGACACCGTTCTGTTTGCTCTGCTGTCTCTTCTTTAACCTCTCTCACTTAATAGCCATAGCTCTCAGAATCTGCAACTACTACTGTGCCACCATAAAATGGGAACCAGGTTAAAAGTTATACAGGCTGATATGCCCGGGGAATTTAAACATTTTGATACAGTATGAATTTTTTACCCTTACATGCTATATAAATAATGAGTCAAAAATACTGATGAAGCACTCTCTCAAATTCTGATGATACTGGATGGGGCCAGAGAAACTGTACCTAAGGCAGAGAAGAGAAAAAAGTGTTATATTTGATAAAACCTAAATGTTATTTAATTTAATTATTTCAATAAGAATTTCTAAAACAAAACAAAGTTCATTTATTCTTTTTTATCCTCTAATTATGTTTATTTGTTATGAAAGAAAATTTACCTCAATGGCTGCACATAAAAATATAATAATTACCAAGTTGAAATTGCATTGTGAAAACAAATGCAAGCTTTTTATAACTCTTGCTTATAATCTGCTTCAAATCTTTAATGAAATTCCACAATGTCACAGTAGGTGGGATTTTTTTTTCTCTCAATTATAAAGATTGATTAAAACATCAAGCTTAATATTTGTATTTCCTTAAACTATTTTGTTTTGTCTTTTTGCCTTAATAAGTTCCTTTAAATAAATAGTTTAAATCAGAACATGCAAAAAAAAAATGCAGTCTAGTTTAGTGTTATAATCATGTCTGATTTATTTGCTATCTTTGATAGAAAAATCTTACAAACTATATTTGGTTGAGTTTAAGAAGCTGATTTCTATAAAAGAAGAACAAACACAAAATTTGGCCAAATTTTTAAGGATAATGATGTTAATTCCTAAATTAAACATAATGTGATTTTCAGGGCACATTTGCCACTTAAATCCAACTAGCCCTATGCACAAGATTTTCAATCACAAACCAATTGGTCACAGAGTTAGAAGACACCCGATACTTTGATGGCAGGACTCTATCAACATTGATTTTAAAGCAATCAAAGTAATGAACTTACATGATCTGGCTGCAAAGAAAATGAAATGGTGAAATGTTCTAGTGAAAACTAGGGCCCACCCTGGGCTGTCATGTTAGTGATGATGATAACTTTTGATTTATACGTAAAATAAAAATCTTGCTGTGAAAGTCATGTTTTTTTTTGACAGATTAATAGTAGATTTAGTCATATATTATCATTTTACATTTGAAAAAGGTATTTAAGCAACTAAAAGTTTGGACTTTTTAAAGATCTTAAGAGTTTTTTAAGCCCTAGTGGTAACATCACTGTGGATTTTATTTTTTTACATAATGATGAATACACTTCAAATTCTTTGGATATGTTCTAATTTGATAAATGAAATTAATATTCATTTGATTCTTTATCTGTGATTTTTCACTGAATCTCTTTCTTAGTTTGCTTTAAAACTTCTTTTTTAGCTCTTCATGTTGCATGTCAAAGAGGTAATTTGGCTTCCTGCCGTATCCTTTTAACTGAATCTCATGTTAATGCTGAAGCTGTCAATTTAAGGTACGATAATAATTTTCTACTACAAAATATCTCTCTATGGTTATCTCTCCATCAATTTAATTTCATTTATTTCTATAATTTTTTATTTTTAGAAGTTTTTTTAAACAAATAAGTAATAAATTTCTTTACATCTCAAAGTAATTGCTATTTCTCATATTTTTACTCTTAATCACTAATTTATCACTTATTTTTTCTGCCATTTTTACTAATTATTATAAGAATAATTTTTATTTTTTATCTTTAATGGACAGTCTATACTTGCAGTGAATTTAAGACAAAAACATTATATCCTTCTTATTTTGAATTCAGAGAAGTGAACTGCTGAATCCAGTGTCTTGATTAACTCATCTTCTTTTATATTTAGTGCAATATAGTTTAGTGCTCTTAGGTGTTTGGAAAACTCAGAAGATTTAAAATTAGCTTAAAATACTTTATAGGAGAATAAACTTTAAAGAAGTTTTTTTTTTAAATCTTAATTTTTTTCTTTAACCCTTTTCCACAAAACTGATATTGCAAATGTGTTCTGAGGTGATTTTCAATAATGTAACAATTTTACATTAGAAAATGTTTTTATGGAAAGTTATTGAAATAGTGTTTGCTGAAATGTTTGAGTAATATTTTAAAAATGCAATTATTACTTTATTATGGTTTTTGGTTTATTCTTGGAATTAAAGATAAGAGTTTTAAATTTTTTTAAGAGTTGTATGAATTTTGTGATAAACAGATTTATATTACAAGGCATATTATTTATATTACACTCCTTAAAACATTGAGGATTATTTATAACTCATTCGATTTACAAGTGTATATCCTGGAGAAAATCTGCAGCTCAGTCTTCAGACATTAAAAAGTTTGCCTGTGATTCCAAATCAGACTTTTTTCTTTTAATTATTTTTTTTATTAAATTTCAGTTAAAAAATGAAAATATTTTTAAAAATCAATTCTCTTAATCTAAATAAATGAAAATTACTAATTTTAGATTATAAGTTTTTCAGCAATTGAGAAAAATTTCACATGGAATCCTGAATTTTGGATCTTGTAATTTATTTATTTATTTTTAAGATTACAAAAAGAAAAAAAAAGTCTTAACTTTCAAGGAAGCTTGAAAAAAAAAATTTTAATTATTTTTTTAAATTTTTCTTACTTTCTCTGAGCAATCCTCCTCCGTAAACCTGAATTAAAAAATAATCTGCAGTGTCCTTTGCCATCCTGCAGATTTTGAAAGGATCTATCAATATGTAGGTATATCATGATATTGTATCACACAAGCAGATATTTTTTCAGCATGACAGCAATTTTACATTGCTGTAAAATATCTTATAATTTTTTTTATGCTTTTAAGATTTTTGTCCACCTGTATTATTCACTTTTGTTCGTAATTGATGTGTTGAAGTGCCGTATGTATTATTTTTAAGAATAGTTTTCTGGATAATCAGATTTTTTTTTTGCTTTGAATTAAGTATGAACTCTATAACCTGTATCTAGAAAGAAGAAAAATATAAAAACTTCTTATGATTGAGAAAGTTCTTCGCGGGATATAATTTAATAAGCATTGTATGTGTTGTAACTATATAAGCTTAAGTTGATATCCTGTGTCTGAAGTGAATCTATTGTAAAATTATCAGTTTTTATCTATAAACTATTTTAAAGTGATTTCTGTTTTTAATACTTTCTTATTCTGATGGTTTTCTAAGTATTTCTTCGAAGAACTTTCAAATAAATTGACTTGAAAAAAAAACAGTTTGATTTTATTTTTTTTTTTGGTAAGCATACAGAGCAATTGACTAAATTTATAGGACCTTCCGTTGATGAATGCTGTAGATTACTACGCTGCCCTGGGTGTTAAGAAGCACCTGCAAAATTTGACTAAAAAATAAAAGTTTTTCATCAGAAATGCTGCACTGTCAGATATGCCTCACAAAAATTTACTACATGAACAGTTACAGGGTAAACACATCTGTTACAAATAACAGATTATAAACAAAATAAATGATTAAACATTCTAAAGTCATTAAAATAATTACATATACATACAATGTAAATAATAGACAATAAATTAATACATGCTATCTTACTTTAAGTCAGAAATTATACATTTTGATAATTTTCATTCTAACTTTTCAAATGTGTGCAAAAATGTACGGTGTACAATTGTCCGCAATTGTGATGTAAAATAATAGAGGCTAATTTAAAATACTCCAATTTTATGTGAACCAAATGATAAGGAACCTAAAATAATAAAAATAAGTAATTAAAATATAATAAATTGATAATTAGAATAAAATTTATCAGAAATGGTTTCAATGAAAGATCTATAAATTCCGGAAATCAAATTACAGATGCTGTGAAAATCATGTATTTGTAATAATGCCAGAATGTGGCCAATTATTCCATCTCCGGTCAATTGAATGATTTAAAAAAGAAATAAGAATATTTGTAATACAATATCGCTTGTATTCTCTCTTAGAGGACAGAATCCCCTTCATGTGCTGGCTCAATATGGCAAAGAAAATGCTGCAGCAATCTTTGATCTTTTTCTTGAATGTATGCCTAATTACCCCATTGACAAGCCAGATGCTGAGGGCAATTCACGTAAGGTTTTATTTGTTATTTTTTATAAAATTTCGCTCTAATGTTCATGTCATGAGTCTTTCTCTAACAAATAGATATTTAGAATATTCTATTATATTTAACTTGCATTACTGAATTTGAAAGTAGGATATTTCTTATATTTTTACCCTCAGACCGATATTAATAACTTCTACTTTTTTGCCATCTTGACCCATAATAGTTACAGCAATTTTTTTTCATCCTTTTCAATGAATGGTGAATTTAATGCAATAACATCAGGGGTCTGTCGAGGCCAAATTTACGACCATTTAGCAGTACCATCACACATTCAACTTTAGGAAAAACGGTAATTTCCCAAAATACTTTTTCTTAAAATTTTATTTTTGTATCCCGTAAGAAACGATAAATCCATATTTTTACCCTATTTTTGTGTTGTTTTTTTTTAATATAATTTTTAATTTTCACAAATTATATCTAAATTTTCACAAAACAGGTACCTCTCAGAAAAACCTAAACAGGCCTCTGAACATTTAACCTCTACTATTAATGCCAAATCCCTCACTCATGACCAGTTGGTTTTTGAATTAGCAAAACAAATTATATGTGGCATGTGTTTTTATCCAATGCCAAAATCATAAATTTAAGCTTCTTTGATTAATATTACTTTTTTTGTTAATTAAATGGATTACTTGTTTCTCAATGTCTATTTTCTGAGAAATAATATTAAATGAACAGCTGTTTAACTTTTCTAGGTATTTGACTTGGATTACTTTCTATTCAACCTTGTTTCTCTTTTAAATTACAATAGGTGTTCAGTGGGAAAATTCCATACAATTTTTATTTACACTGTGTTTTATTGAAAGCCATCATTCTCCAAATAATTATCTGATTACAAACATCAGGGACTCAGTGTCAATGCTCTGCTCCAGATAACAGCAATTTTACTGTGTACGTGTAGGGCCCGCCTAAGAATTCGCCACCTCTCCAAATGTGATGAAGTCCTAAATTTGGCAAATGATTTTTCCCACTGGAAATGAAAATATATATTTAACTCAATCCTCAAAATTACGTCAAAATGAATTTTTCTAAACAAATCAATATTTTTTATTTGATTACGGTAATTTTCAGTAGATATGCTGCATAACCAATTAGAATTGCATCCAAATAATATAATCCCGAAACAGACTACGATAAAGTAGTTTTCTATGAGAAAAAAATGAATCATAAATAATTTTTAAGATTGGCATTTGGTGAATACTTTTGAAATTTGGCTAATAATTTGTAATCCTTAGTGCGGGCCCTGTATGTATATGTATATATATATATGTATATATGCACACGCTTTTGAGTTTCAGATTTTAATTTGAAATTACTGTTATAAAAAGAAGCATTGAAAAATAATAGCATAATCATCAGCTCACACAGAAAATACAAATTTAATTCACAGTTCAGTTATTTCTTCAGTCCTAAGAAAATTAAACCTTTACATTTGATCTTAAATCATATATAATGTTTTTTAATACTTTGGAAAGTCTTTCCATAGAAAGTTGGCTAACGGGTGACAGACCTCTTCTTTGTCTGTAGTAAAATTGCTGCAGCAATTTAGAGCTCTAACTTTAGACCCAGACTCTCCTGCTGCAGCTCTCTAAATTATATTTAAAAGGAATGGAAGTTTCTTTTTTTTTATTACATTCTGTGCAAGCTTTCAGATACTGTGATTCAGGCAGTGTTATGAACTTTCTGTGTGTAATAATTTAATGATTCTTTTTATATAAATTGCTACTTACATTTATTCAGCCTTTTCTCAAAGACATTACTTCATTTGAGAGTATTTTTCATTACTATTATAGGAAAGCTGGTATTTATTTAATTTTATTTGTAATCTTCTATTTTATGTTGTATTTACTCTTCAGCTCTTCTTCTTGCATATATGAATGGTAATGGAAATTTGTGCCGAGCTCTAGTGCGTTCAGGGGCATGCCTTGGTAGTTGTAATCGTCAAGGTGTAAATATTTTCAATAACCAAGTTGCCACAAAGCAATTACTTTATAGGCTTTTGGGTATGTCAAAAATTACTTTCTTGAACAAAATGAGTAATAATTATTTTTAATTTTTTCAATAAATCTATTTATAAAATAATGTGGAAATTTTGTGAATGTCTTAGTATTAATGGTAGAACTTTTAGTACCTAAATAAACATGTGTTGTCTAAGTATTTTCATTTTTGCCTATATGTAATTAAAACCTATATGTAATTTATGAATGATTTTTATTATTCATTAAACATTGAATTTAGTTTAACATATGCACAAAAACATTTTAATACAAAAATGTAATGACATTTAAATCAGTACTAATTATAAAATCCAAGAATTTTCTTTTTTAAAACTAAATTTAATGAACTTTGAAAAAAAAATTAAAAATCAATTTTAGCTAGGATTTTTGTTTTCTTTTAGATTATCTACCAAAAGAACCACCTTGGTGTGAACTAGAAAATTGTATGGAGTGTTCATCGAAATTTGGAATCAAAACTCGTAAACATCATTGGTAAGTTTTAAAGAAATATATTGTAAGTATTTAAACTGTTATGATTTAAATTTGATCCAAATCCAGTTTTTCTGACGATTAGCTTCATTTAATGTTCTTTTTTTTTCTTTCCGAAAACAATATGGAAAATATTTTTAACGCGTTGAAAATATCCATACCTGTCAGAATCTAGCTTATTCTAAATTACTTGAACTGCTTTTTATCATCACTCAAAGCTATATTATCATAATTATATGTGTACTAAACACTAGGATTTTGTGTTTTATGAAAAATGTTCCGTTATAATTAAGCATGAACATGAGAAGATTCAAATTAAATACAAAAGGAAACTCTCATGGGACTTAAGCTAGGAAGGACAGACCTGCATTAATACCAATAATCAATCCAGACTAAAAGGCCAGTAATGATGATGACATTATCCAAGTTGAGACAGAAGCAAACTTAAACATGCCAGGGCAAACTGAAAAGCTTCTTTAAATAATTATCAGCCAATTATCATGAATATTTTCCGTTTTATTTATTCCTTTGGAATTTTTACCTTTACTTGTGATTCTACATAAGCTCTTTAGTTTTTAGCAAATTAAATCTGAAAATTAATTTCACATCAGCTTGCTAAAATTATTTTATTAACCTGACATATCTACTAATACATTTTAAATTTGAATATTCTTTATCACATTTAAAAAGATAAGACTTTCTTATTTTAAACTATAACAATAAAAATAAATTAATATTGAAGATATTAATGTTGCTCATTTAAATTATAATTCCTTCAGATTTTATATATTTATGCTTATTTCATCTCGTGCTGATTTTGTTTGAAGATTCTTTTGATCACTCATGTAATAAATAAATTACATGCAGAACAGTTTATTACATGCTTTTTTTTACATTCCCATTTTAAATTAAGCTTTTACTGTATAATATATTTTTTGATTATATAATAAGTTTTACAACCGTTTTGTCCTTTCTTTCACAATCTCTCTGAATTTTCTGACAGATATGGTGTTCTATAATTACCTTTTAGAATTCTGTCAAAAAGTATAAACATTAGAATAAGGCTTTCAATATCCATTAAATCACTAGAGATGAATTTTAAAAATTAAAAACTAGTTTGATTGACCAATGAAACTTGGAAGTGTTTCTAATAATTACCTATCAGCTCTAATCACTTTTTTTCCTTTATAGTAATTTGTTAAATAACAATCGCTTTTTTGTTTGTTTTCTTCTCTTAAATGCAAACTTGTGATTTCTGATGTGCATATTTTTTTTTACTTAAATTGTAAAAATTAACAGGAATGAGTTTAAAAGTCCCTTTATTCATATTTTTGCCAACTAAATGACAATGTAAATTATAGTTATTATCAATTAGTGTTTTCAGTTACATTTCATATATGTTTATGGAGCATACTTTATTTGCAAGTTGTTCAATCTTTAATTAACTAATTATAAAATTAATAGATTTTTTTATATTTTTGTTATTATTATTATTCATTTACTTGATGTTTTTTCACTTTTTAGTCGCCATTGCGGTCGTGTTTTATGTGGAAAATGCTCAGATAAAGATGTTCCCATATTGAAATTTGGACTTAACAAGCCTGTTAGAGTGTGTGAACTTTGTTTTGATGTTTTGACTGTTGGTGCCATTTAATTTACCCTTATTGGTTGTGCTAGTCTGTGTTAGTATACTTAAATGTTTCTGTTTTAGTTGTAGATTTTATATTAATGTTTAAAAATGTTCCTGTTGAAAAAAAGATATTTTAATAAGTCTTATTTCTCTAGTGATTTATAATATTCCAAATATAAAATGTTCCATATAAATCTTTATCATCCTTGCTTACAAATTTCTGACGGAACATGTGCAAAGAGTTTTTTTATATCATAAATATATGTTTCTCTTTCCCCCTTTTTTTAAAAAAAATAAGACATACAGTTTTTAAAACACAGCATGCAACGCTTTTGAAAAATGTATATAAATATTCAGCAGGCATCGAGATTTAGATTTGTTCCAATTATAAGTAAAATTCTACCTTTAAGTATTACCACACTTGATAGAATATTGAAACCTTTAACAACATCTGCCAGTGTTGTTATAAAAAGCAATCAAGTCATACACTGTAAAAAATGCAACCATTACATTTAAATTTACTTGAGTACCTTATTTTACCAAATTTAGTAACATTCCCAGAATCGTATGAGTATAATGTATTGTCTTTTTTACTATGAAGCATATATTTATATGTTGTAACAGTTAACTATTTTTATTTTTTGCTACATCATGAACTGTTGGTATTGACGTAATAAAAAATAATTGCCAAATAGATAGAATCTGATTTTTTCTAAAATGATATTAACTGGAACATCTTTTCCTACAATTTTGATAGTCACTTTATTGCACATGAGAATTATAAAATAGCTTCAGTTGTTAAAAGCTTTGTCATATTGTAGAAAAAAATTGAATGAAGTTATAATAAATATTTCAAGCTTTTATTCAGGACAACTTGTATTCAATAATTTGGTGAGTAATAATAAATAAAGCAAGAAGCAACTGTTTTTGAAAAAAAATCATCAGCAGTCTTTGTTTCTTTCATTTTTAATTATGTTTGACAAAAGTACTCGTAAAAATTATGTCAAATTAGCTTCAAATATTTTGTTTCCAAACTGACTTATATTTATTCTAAAATATCTATTTAATTAATTAAAATATCTTTTATTTAATTAATAATTAAATATAATTTTATTAAATATCTATCTATTTGGATTTTGGTATTAAAGCTTAATTCTAGAAAGTAATCTTGTAATAATCAAATTATAAGGCTTTAAACTCTTGTTATTTTTGTGATCTCCTGCATGACTTGTTAAATGTATTGTTTTTCAAAACAAGTCATAAATATTTTATGTTTTTTTTTTTTTTTTTCCTTTTATGGGACCAAAAAAAATACACCAATCGGTTTTTTGATCTCAAAACTTCTGGGATGAGATTTTTCCGCTTTTTAGCGGATTTCCGCTTTTTTCACTTTTATCTCTTAAATTTCAGCTTTTTTATCAAAAATTCAGATTTTCTAAAAATTTCATTTTTTTTTTTATAAGTATTCCGCTTTTTCAGAAAATTCACAGATTTTCAATGAGAAACAGAAAATTCAAACTACAGAGCTACCAATCCTTTCTCATTTTTACATATTTTAGCTATTTTCTCCCCTTTTACTCTCAGCAGATAAGATTTTCAGACTCCAGATAGATCCGATTTTTGTAGTTCAAACGACTCTGCTTCTGACAAGCATTTTAGAGGTCCCAAGCCTGGAATCTGCTAATATCTCGATTCTTATTCACACGATTTTAATATCAAACATAGCTTTTCATATTTGCGTGTTGCGATTCTTATTCACGCGATTTGAAGGCACATGTT